GGGGCTTTCCGGCCGCGCTGGCGACGCAGCGAGCTGCCCTCCGCGCGGGGCTCCCCTCCGGCGGGCTCCTGTCCTGGGACGGCGGGACACCTGTCGCCTGTGAGGCACCGTTCATTTTCGTAGCACTTTCCTTTCCTTGTAGGGCAGTTCCAGGATTAGGAAGAGCCGGGCGCGCCTGTTGGTGGCGTCCACTGGGGACTAGCACAGGTGCCCGCTCTGTCCCGTTAGGCTGTCCCCCTGTCCCTGGGCTCTGAGATCTCACCGCCTCCTCTTCCCGATCATCTGTTTCCCCTCCTGTAATTCAGGTTTTTGGCTTAACCAGTCAACTCGGCTTCTCCTCTCGAATGTAGTGCCAAGAGGAGCGTCTGTTTCCGCGCCTTCCTCCCCCGCAGTCCATTTGCACTCCTCCCTTCGCAGGCCCGTCGTTCCGTCTGTAATCCCTGGTTTAGTACATGGAAGGTGTTTAGGGCTGGAAAGACTGCTAGAGATGTGTGTTTCAACCGTCTTTATTTTATAGGCGAATAAAGTGAGCCCCAAGACTCCACGTGACTTGCCTGCCCAGGGTTGCACAGCTCGTTAGTAGTCATGTTGGGAATGGGACGCCAGATGTAATCAGCAGATGCTTTTTGATCATGCAGGGTCATTGCAGGAGAGAAAAATAGGACACCTGTTAAAGTTTAGGTCAGGAAACATTTTCGGAGCACCTGATAGGACGGAGCACTGTTTTGCGTGCAAAGATTAGTAAGAGTATTCCCCATCCTAGAGGACTTTTCCGTTTGGGGGGAGTTGAAATGGACATTTTCAAGAGAAGATAAATGCTAAAATAAAGATATATGCGGGGTGCTGAGAGAGCTCAGGGTAGGAGTCTGTAGGGTTGGCTCTTCCCTGAAGAAATACCATTCATACCTTATTTTCTGCTCTGGTTTCTTTATGTCCTGCTAAAGCGTATTGATTTTGTTATCTGTTACTTTCTTTTTTTAATTATGATTACAATTGGTTATTTCTTCAACTCTTTCTCCCTTGGAAGTTTTGGATTAGTTCAGTGCTGCTGCTTATTTTGGTGGACAGGGTGATGGAGTCGGGAGAGCTGGAAAGGTCCCTCATAATTCATGAGCTCCCATTTTCTCTTCCTTATGGTGGACATAACGATTACCTGCCCTGACTACTCAACAGATTGTTACAAGGATCAGTCTTGGAGAATGTTTATCAGTAAATGTGTGGGGGTTGCCAACCTCTGCTTCACTGTGATCTTAAAGCATTCTTCAATTTGAAACACCCTGCACCCTCTCAAAATTTCTAAGAGGCAGTAAACTCTAACATGAAATAAATCACTGGATGTTATTGTCTTCATGTATCATTGATTATAATCTGGGACAATTCTGTATCTTGGGGTTCTTTTTTTTTTCCCCAGAGCCAATTTTGGGGACAATAGAGAAATTTCTCTTAAAATTATTTTAAGGCCCATAGGGAAGTTTCAGTGATTACTGAAAACTAATTTTAAGATAGTGAATGATTCACTAACAGGTGTGCTTATAATCTATGCTCTGAGAATTAGCATTTTTTGAATTCATGTCTTGACGACCTATATTTGAAAAAATAATAATTCTTAATACTTTTTACAAAGATTGAGATCCAGAAATTCTACTTTGATCCTAATGTCTTAGAAATACTAGCAAAGGAAGCCAATCTGTAATCTTCACACTTTATTTTCATAAAAACCGGTATTAAATTGGTAACACGTGATCTGAACAAAAACTGATAAAGAAATATATCTTCAGTTCATCATAGCCAAAGCTTTGTAAAGTGTTTCACTATCCAGGAATCACAGGTGTTCTGGATGTCAATAGACTTGGGTACAACATGATTTCTGTCTTAAATTCAAACTGAGAGCCACTTATAAACATAACATGCTAAAAAATGAACCTAAGGTGAGAGATTAAAGCTTTCACATGAAAGTTTATTTTTTATTGTTAGCCTGATCTTTTATCCATTTGGGAATATTTAGGAATAGGAAAGGGGAGAAAAGAGTAAACTAAAATTTGTTGGAACCTAGTGATGGAAGTGAAAATGTTACAGTACTTCATTTGGTCTACCAGGATCCTGTGAGGTTAATAGTGGTATTCCCATTTTACAAGTGAGGCTGAGGCTTAGAGAAGTTGAGTAACTTGTGCAGGTTCACACAGCTAATAAACTGCGAAGCCTTCATTTATATCCAGGGTTCTCTACCTATAAACATTGTATACTTTTATTAATAAGGTGCTTATAAAAGCACTGTTTGCATACTTGATTGAAAATGATTGTTTTGTGTACTTTTACCTAAGTTGATATAATACTTTTAATTTTTTTCTTTCAGATTTTTTTAATATCCAAATTTCAAGAATACACTGGATACCACTCTTAAAAAACCAAGATGAAATTATGAAGAAATGTTTTAATTATTGAAACTACAGTTGAAATTATGAAGAAATGTTTTAATTATTGAAACTACAGTTGAAATTATGAAGAAATGTTTTAATTATTGAAACTACAGTTGAAATTATGGCTACATCAGCAAATCTGGATCTTGGAGCCCAGCTGATAGTGGAGGAGTGTCCCAGCAGTTATAGTCTAGCTGGCATGCCAGACATTAAAATAGAACATCAGCTGGACTCAAATGCAGAAGAAGGATCAGCTCAGGGTGTTGCCATGGGAATGAAATTCATATTGCCTAATCGATTTGATATGAACGTCTGTTCTCGATTTGTGAAGTCCTTAAATGAAGAGGATAGTAAAAATATTCAAGATCAGGTTAACTCGGACCTGGAGGTGGCATCTGTCCTATTTAAAGGTTGAAAGTTATGGTATAAATATCAGCATTTGTTTTGTTTTTGTTTATTTGGTGTGTGTTTTTGTCCTTTCTAATCGTGAGATTTTGAGTTTGGAAGAAATTTTGGAAGTCATTTTTTAATACAATTTTCTAGAATCTCAGAAACCAAAATTAAATGACTTCGTGTTATATAATGTCCATAAGTGCATGTTGATTCTTTTTAAATTTCTTGCTTAACATCTTTATTTAGAAATTCTCTAATAAAGTTCCTTATTGTTCCTTTTTAAGTCATAGGAGAAAAATATTATTGGTGCCTTTTACAAATGAATTAGCTTAATATTTCCTATTCCATGAATATTTGATTAGCATTAGCTTCCTATGCTTTAATTCAGTGAAATCCATCATCATATTGTAGATTTACTTTTATAACAATCTATTGAATAAAAACACTAATTCCAGAATAAAGTTGCTCAACATTAATACAAATTTTTTCTGGAACATTCACTATAGTAGTACAGACTTTTTATGGCAAAAAATAATTTAATATCATTTGATAAACAGTTGAAGATATACCTCATGTATTTCTTTTTTAATGTAAACATTGACAATAACTTTGAAATGCTTTGTCATTAAAATATTGTTTTTATGTGTTTAAATTTATTTTACTTAGCTGAATGCAATATCCATACATCTCCTTCTCCGGGAATCCAAGTAAGACACGTCTATACTCCCTCTACAACAAAGCACTTCTCACCCATAAAACAGTCAACTACCTTAACCAACAAGCACAGAGGAAATGAGGTCTCAACCACACCTCTGTTAGCAAATTGTAAGTATTTCCCACTGATATGTTAAACTATTCTTGTTACTAATATAATGGTTTCAAGAATTTGGCTTTGAAACATTATTTTCCTTAAATGCATATTCCATTGTGGAAAGCTGAAGTGATGTGCTCACAGTTTTAGTAATTTAAAACTTTTTTATATATTACTGCATATTCAAATAGTTCATATTTTGTTTCTCCATTTAAAACAAATACAGATTTAAATACTCTTAAAACCTTTATAGTTTACTATAAAAACAATGAGTTATTCTGAACCTTGTGCAAAAGTAAGACATTATGAGTGTTTTTGTGTCTTGGAGTTCAAGGCTTCACATTTTACTTATAAACTAACTCACTGAGATCATTGGTCCACTGCAGTCAAGGATTGAGTGATACTCATTTTTAATATTAACTCTCCTAGAAGGATATCTATTTGGCTTTGTTTGAAATAAAGAGATTGTCTTAAAGTATTCCAACCATAGAATTTTTGAGCTCAAAACACCTAGAGATGATGTGGTTCACATACCTCAGGTTACAGACAAAACTGTTTAATCAGTTATCTAAGGACACATACCAGATTAACCACAACTAGGTCTGCACTCAAGAATTTACTCTCAGGGTCAGTTGTCCATTTACTACCTCACTCCTAAAGTCAAGAAAACCCGTGGAATCTTGATATAGTATTTGGCACTTCAGTGGCTTTAATCAGTGAAAAGACAAAAGATGTGTCTTTGTTTGTTAGACCCAACTTCCTTACAAGTTTGCAAAAGAGATGGCATTTTAAAAATTAAGTACCAAAACCTTTCTTTGATTGATAAGATTAGTAACAATTTGCACTGTTAATAATTGATCATAACAATTTGCATATTCATTGATAAATACACTTTGCAGATGTCAGAATAACCTTGAACGTATAAGAGTTAATTCTCAGATACAGAAAGACTATGTGCAATGTTAGGGTATATTTTAGTTAGATTTTTTTAAACAATAAAGTGAGTTTGTTTTTTGGAAAAGACAATTTTGCTGCACACACAAGAACAAAGAGATGATGACAGTGTGCCCTACATATATATATATATGAAGCTTTTTATGATATTGTTTCAGCTTTATCTGTTCACCAGTTAGCTGCTCAGGGAGAGATGCTCTACCTGGCTACTCGTATTGAACAAGGTAATAGCTTATTTTTTTAAATGTACTTAAAACAAATTTAATAGGATTTGTTTGATTTGTTATTTTTTCTTATACAGGAAAGTATAAAGACAGAAGAAAGATGGTATATAATCTCACCTGGCAGATAATAGTTTTCCTTTGAAAGTACTCTAAAGTATAAAGTTAGCGCTTCCCTTACCAGCCTAGCCTTTTCTCCAAAAGCAAATGTAATTTTCTTATATTTTCAGAAAACCCTTCTAAAAAACACTTCTGTTTATATTTGCAGTTGAATGTGAGAATATGTATGTGCTTTTTCTTATTTACACTAGAGGAAAAATACTGCACTTTACCTTTTTTTCACTTAATATTTTGGAAATCTTTCCATGTAAACACATAAGGATCCACTTTATTCTTTTTAATAGGTCCAAGGTTTTGCTTTGTATTGAATATACATATACTTTGTTTTTTATTTTTTAACTAGTCCCCCTGGTAATGGTTGATTCTGTTTGTTCCTATTACATAACAATATTGTTGGCATTCTTTTTAAGTATATGCACGGGGTAAATTTCTTCAAGAATATTTGCTGGGTTAAAAAGTATATGAATTTTTACTTTTGGATTTATTGCCAGATGTTTGTCCTGTCTTCACATTAGAGTTAGAGTTTCTATTTCCCTGTACCCTCACTGACACAGGATATTATCAGACTAATCTAAAAATAGTTTCTCATATGGTTTTGTTTACATTTTTAAATTATGATATATTTGAATCCTTTTGTGTTTATTTCTATGAACCCTTATCAAAATTAAAGAAATTTGCTTTTTATTGTTTATGTTTCATATTTTTTTCTAGTTTTTCATTTTTCCTTTGACTTTATGCTGTTTTTCAAACAAATGCTTAATATTTTTAAGCAGTAAATTTACTTTTTTTTCTTGTGACTTCTGAGTTTTATGTCCTGCTTAGAAAGGATTTTGTACTCTAATATTATAAATAAATTCATTCATGCCTTATTCTAGAACTTCTGTGGTTTCCTTTTTACATTTCAGTCTTTGACAGATATGAAATATGTTTTGGTGTGATAAGATAAAGATCCATTATTTTCATTTTTCAAAAAGTTAGTTGTCCCAATTTTATTGATTGAATATAGTGTGCATGATAAAATGTTTATTTTTTCAATCATTCTTTTATAAGAAAGACTTACTTCATCATTATATTTCTGTTTGTTTATCAATGTTTGAAGGTTTCATTCTCAAGCTACTAAGTAAATTTAGGGGGAAAACTGTTGGCTTTATAACTAGTAGACTGAATCTGGGGAACAAAATGGGGTTCAAGGCAGAATTCTTTCAAAATATTCAGTCTTCACTCACATTATATTAGCAAACCAGCAATACTCCTCTGATGTGGGCTACAGCACACGGACTAATAGCTGTGGTAGAGTTTCTACTTCAGAATGTAAGGAGAATGCCTCAGAAAATGTATATGTACAGCTGCTTCAATTCAAGAATAAATGAAATTCAAAGGCAGCAATATTAGTTATAGACTAGAACATAGCTTTAATAAGATTTTGCAGTTTCATAATAGTATATATTTATGTAATGCTAGGGGCTTTATATAAGCTTATTTTTATTGTGGTCTTCCCAACTACACATCAGGATAAGCAAGGTATTATTCTGTGTATTGGAGAAATCAAGTGACATGCCGAGAATCACACTTTTAGAAAGTGATGAGGCAGGATTCAAACTCTGGTCTCCTGATTCCGAGTCCAGTGTTCTGTGGATTACCTCGTACCTAGCTAGCATTATATTGTTTCTGGTAGTTTATACTTTAAATAACATGCTATTTGAACTCAGTTGTATACACTGAGGCACATTTTAATATAGCCAGACTGCAAATTGCAACAACACGTAACAGGACTTCAGTGAGCAAAAGTCAGCACAAAGTGATCCTCATTGAGTAATATTATCAACTTTTTAGAATGCCAGTATTTTCATAGTGATGTTAATATGTGGTTGTTAAATTAGATCACAAAAATTGCTTTTCTTTTAAATAGAAAATGTTATCAATCACACGGATGAAGAAGGATTTACTCCTCTGATGTGGGCTGCAGCACACGGGCAAATAGCTGTGGTAGAGTTTCTACTTCAGAATGTAAGGAGAATGCCTCAGAAAATGTATACGTACAGCTGCTTCAATTCAGTTAAGTCTTTAGTAAAGTTCTGGTGTCTCCAGCCACGTAGGTGTAACGGTAGAGGATCCAAAAATTTTAAATGCTTATCGCATTCTNAAGTCTTTAGTAAAGTTCTGGTGTCTCCAGCCACGTAGGTGTAACGGTAGAGGATCCAAAAATTTTAAATGCTTATCACATTCTTGGAACTTGGATCTAGTTGGACAGGCAAGACTAGTCATACACGAAACAGTGAGAAACCATTTAAAGCCCAGCCCCCTCTAAGTGCAATGGGAACAAAGTACCGTCAGCCTTGTAGGAGAAGCTTCAGAGCAGAGATGTAATGGACTCCAGAGTGAAGAGATAGTTAGGACTGAGACAGAGGCATCCAGACAGCCTTGGTGACAAGAGCATCCATGAAGAGAAGTTTGCATTATTTCTTTATTAACCCCAGAACACCTGGCCTAAGTGTTGAACTGTAATTATTATTGACGGAAATAACAATATTGTTATTTAAATGAATTGAAAAGTCTTGTATCTCCACTTCCCACCCCAGGGTGCCGATCCCCAGCTTTTAGGAAAAGGTCGGGAAAGTGCACTGTCTCTGGCCTGCAGTAAAGGCTACACAGATATTGTCAAAATGCTGCTTGATTGTGGAGTTGATATAAATGAGTATGATTGGGTAAGTCTATGACACTGATCTTTAAATTACTGTTACAAATTCTAGGATTTATTTGGTTTAGAGAGACATAATAAAGTTTATTAAACACTTGGAAGAATAATTAATTAACTTAGTTAAACACCTGGAAGAAAAGTTAATGACATGAACTCAGTTGCTAATTCTGATTTAAGTATTCTGCACGAAATATTAAAGTTACCTTAAACTACTTTTACATGCCCAATTCTTAGTAAAACTTCTCACAGTAGCATTAAATTCTTCAAATCTTGCTCTCCTTGAGAAACTGAATCACCTTTTCCTTTTCTAGAATGGTGGCACACCTTTGCTTTATGCTGTACATGGAAATCATGTGAAATGTGTAAAAATGCTCTTAGGTAAGCAGGTACAAATGAAAATATTGAGAAATGCCATGAGGACTTTATTTTACTTTTTTTTATTGATTTTTAGAGAGAGAGAGGAAAGGGGTGGGGGGAGAAACATTGATTTGTTGTTCCACTTACTGATGCATTCATTGGTTGCTTCCTGTATGTGCCCTGACCCAAGATGGAACCCACAACCTTGGCAGGGCTGACTTTATTTTACAAGCTGGCCTCCCCTGGTATTATTCAGCAGAATCATTTATTGTTAAAGGCGTTAGTCCTGCTGCCGTAGCGTGGCCCATGTGAAAAGAGGCTCCATCACACAGCATGCCTGCGATTGGAGCGTTTGTCCTTGTGGCTTTCCTTTTGGAGATCACGTGTGAACCCGTGGTTATTTTCTCTGCCCACAGAATCTTTATGCATAAGCTTTGTCGCTAGTTGTTTGTGAGTTTCAGCTGCTGTAGAGGATGTTCATTTGTTTGAAGTGTCTTCCCTTTGACCCATCAAAGTGAATTCTGTGAACTCCGTGTATTCTGTACTTTGTCAGACCATCCTGAAGATACTCTTCAGATTTGCTGAAAATCTGTCTTGCTGTTTGCACATGAGTCAGTAAAAGACAAACATATCCACATTTTCACTTATTCATGTCGATTTTCTATTTTGGTGTAGAAAATGGAGCTGACCCAACAATTGAAACCGACTCTGGATATAATTCCATGGATTTGGCTGTAGCCCTGGGCTATAGAAGTGGTAAGTATTTCAGAATGCTCAGGTTTCATTTTAGTAAAGCTCTGTAAGTAGTATAAAGCAGTGATCCAAACCATTTTCATCGCTGCAGTGGTAGAACATTGCATGTTATCTAACTCCTGACATACACTTTTAACTGTGGATAAAATCAATAAATTCCTACAAAGTCTGGAAATGAGTTTGTTGCTATCACTTTTTACCAACCCAAATAATTAGTTGCTGGAAGATAAGTACACACTTATTTACAAGATGTGTTTAACATTTTCATAGCAAATTATAATATGCTCTTATAGTTGCTCTTTTCTGTTCCTTAGAATAACCTTATACTCTGGACTCTCCTTCAGTTTCAAAATTTAGAAACCAAGAACGGAAAATTCGGTAACTTGGGCAATTACTAAGTCAGAGGCTAAATTTTAAGTGTATTTAAGCATCTTATTTCCCACAGAATATGAGTATGTCCTACTTAGAAACAACTTTATTTTAGGAAAAAGTTGGGCATGTTAAGTTGAATTTGATAATTCTTTTAAATAACCATGCTATGGCCTTGATCACCTGTCTGTTCTAGTTCAGCAGGTTATTGAGTCACATCTACTGAAGCTGCTTCAGAATGTCAAGGAGTAGACAGTCGCCGAACATGTCTGCCCTTCCTTTCCTGCTTGGCCCTTATAAATGATAGTTTCGTTTACTTATAAGTTTTTACCTCAGTTGCACTATTTACTGATTTTTACTAAGTTTTAATAAATATTCCTCTGAGTAATTCACTGGTTTATAATAAAATTAATGTTGATGCTTTTTTAAAAATGTGTTTTATGACATATTTAAAATTATAAATTAATGTTTAGTGGCATGTAAATTTTTATGGTACAGATAGTTATCTGTCTTTGTATCGAGTGCTGTAATTTAACATTTTCAGAAATTATTCTACCCTGTTCATCTTTACTCTTGTATTAACTCATTGACTTTATATAGGGTTTGCTATAAATCCATAGAAAAAAATTGTTATTATTGAATTAAAAGTGCACAGTGTGATTGTTTACAAAATGTTATAAATAAAGTACATTTTCTGTTAGTTTGCATGCTAGTGGTTTTTTAATTATATAAGGTTATTAAGGGATTCCTTTAGGTTTTTAGTTTAACCCTTCTGTCCAGCCAGGGTACTCCATTAGGTCAAACAATACAGTTAAAAGAAACTGAATCAAAGCAAAGATTTATTGATTGTCATTTCTAGAAGGATATTTAGAATATTTTTCTCTTGATCACAAAAAGGCTGATCTTGTCAGGTTCGCCCTGATTATTTACACACATGCAGCAATTTAATCACATAGGCCTCAAATTTTCTCTATAAAACTAGAGCCTTAGCTTACTGAGCAACTAGTTAGGCCAAAAAACTTACCTCCTTTTCAGAGACTTTCATAAGGAATCTGAGACTTTTAACAGCCTCGATTACTTGCCCCCCTATTCTAAGGCTGGGGTACTAAGCCCAAGAAAGTCTTTCCACCAGATCTTACCTACAATGTCAATATATAAAATATCAAATATAATACCAGAGTATTCCACACAAATAACCACAATTAAAATTTCCCTCATCAGCTCCTATAGTCCTATGTAATTATTATTTCCCAGGATCTTGGGTCAAGCAATGGGCTTTCATGAAGTATGTCTGGATTGAGAAGAAGCTTTGGAATCTTAGAATCCAGAAATTCTGACTCAGTCTACTTGCATATCCTGAAAGGTGTTAAAATGCTGCCAGCTATGAAGTGTGTACTCAAGAGTCTACGCTTGATGGTATCAGTAGTTAAGAGTACCGAGTACTCTTGGTACCTTCCTACGAGGCTTTCTGTGAGGCTCTGACATTTAGAGGGAGGTTAGAGCAGAACCTTCAGAAAAGCATCCAATAGAAACAAATGATCGTGAGACTGATTAGCTTCTTATACCAACAATATCAAAATAAAGAGGAAAATTCTCATGGTATTCTACATAATTATTTCATTTAAAAGTTGTTCAATATTTTCCTTGAGGATACGGACATACTACAAATAGTAAGGGCATTAACAAATCTCCAGGGCCTTTCCACAAAATGTACAGTATCTGAAATATTTATATTAATATTTTACCCATACAAACTTAACCTAGGGAAGGCTGAACATCATTTCTGACTTGACAATTCTTTCCATGCTGTTCTTCCACGAGCATTCACTGAGCACCGAAGAAAGACAAGTGAGAGGGCTCAGCTCAGCCCTCCCTCCGAAAAATCTCACCACTCCAGCATGTCCTGTGTCTCAAGATAAATCCCTGTGCATCAGTGTAGGTGATAGAAGTCTCTTCTCTTTCCAGTGGGAAGAAAATGCCTTCAGATCTGGATCATAAAAAAGGTGACATTTCTACTTTTTTTTAAAAAATTAAAATGAAAAATGTTTTAAATAGAAAGGATCTGCTAAATAGGAATCATGTCCCAGGAGCCACCCAATAATACCTTCCCTGTGTGTCAGCTGGTGGCTTCAAGGCGCCTGAAGTACCAATAGGGTTTCCCAGACTCTGGCTCCTGGGAAGCTTTAGCTGGAGGGCAGACGCAGGTAAGTTCCAAGGGACTGAGCTGGCGAGGGTAAACTGCATATGTCATCCTTAGACCTTCAGAGTTTCCAGGGACCAAAGATTGTGCACAAGAATTGCTCAGTTACATTCACTGACAATCATTTTCCATAATCAACTTTCCATAAATGTCAATACACTCACATTGATATATACATGTAACATATATACATACGTGTATATATAATGGTTTCATTATAAAAACATTTTAATAAAATTGATATACACAAACATAGTCTCCAGTTAAAATAAATATATAGTTGAACTGTTTAAAAATCTTGCCCAATACGTTGTAAATAGGCTAAACAGTTCACCCCAGCAGTAATAAATGCCAGCAGTAATCTTCAGTCCTGCTGAAGATGACTTCCCATGATGGTGACCTGAAGAGATTTTCCACAACCCACAGGACCTCAAGGGTCAGATTGTCTGCATCTCCAGGTGCCAGGGTCACACACACTTATAACCCCTGCCAGAGATTATTCCACATCATTTCCATTGAGAGGAAAAGGAGAGGGGTTCCCAGGTGACAGACCCATAGAGGAGTTCAAGAAAGCCTCTGCCTCCGCCGGCTTTGGGTGGACCAGGTCCACCCACGCCCCACAGAGTCCCCAAGGCACAGGCTCCCCCTCAGCCTCAAGAGGGCTCATTTTGGAGGCAATCAGGGTTCTAAGGGTTTGGCTGCCTAAAGTTCTGAGAGGGGTTCATGCTCCAGCTCAGAAAGTCCCCACCCACCTGCCAGGTAAACGTGCACCTGGGAGAGAGTTGAGGCTGCTATTGGGGTTGACTTCCCAGCAACCCATGCACCAAACTCATGTCCACTCACTGAGCGGGACTTTAACATCATCACCAGAGGCTTACTGGCAGTCCCATAGGATAACAATTTGTCATCATTTTAAAACCCTAAACATAGGCTAAATTCTTTGCACTACACAGGCTTAGATCCAATCCTCTGATTTGGTTCCAAATTATTTTAAAAGTCAAAAAATAAACTGAAAATATTTGCTTCTACTGCAGCACTTGCCAAAACACTGTCCAAGTATTTTTATCATACTTTGTTATAAAGCTTTAATAGTTACCAAAATAGTTACCTCGCTTGGTTCACCCAGGAGTCCCTTGGAGTTGGAAGGACTGGGGAACATATCCATTTGGCAACCGAGGAAACCAGTACCCAAGGAGGCATAAGACTGCTCAGCCAGTGAACAGTAAGGGAGTCAGCCCTCCCCTCCCGCTTGTGCTCTGAACATGCTTAAAACAGGACCAAACAGAGGACTAGGGCTGGGCCTTCTCCAGGCTGAAAGGGGGAGGAACAAAACCACTGATCCTATTGTATGGGGTCTGCTATTAATTTTTTTATTCGAACGAGAAGATGCCAACTGTAAATAATTTTCTGTTATCTACATTTTGCAACAGGAAAGAGAAAGAGAAAAAGAGACTAAGAGGGCTAAATTACGTCCTGACACAGGAGCGGTTTCCCAG